TGATACGCCATTGTGTATATCTTCTATAGGCAATGATAGATCTTTTGCTAAGTATCCAAAAATAATGTTGAGTTTATCCTTTAACTGATCTGGTAATGGACTGGTGGGACGAGGACATACTGCAGAACACCGGAGGCAGCAAGTGGAGGCGTTCATACTTTCACAGGAACTAACGTTGGCGAACCAGCCTGACCAGCCCTATACCTTCTATGGGCCAGGTGGAGAATCTAATGTGGACCTCACATTATCGACTGGGGACATATACCTTGCTGAGTGGCGAGTGCATGAGGGAATCTGCGCCAGCGACCATAATTTAATTACATACACGGCCACTACCAGCAGGCCGACTACTTACGCTGCACCCGTCAGGGATCCCCCACGTTTTCGTGACCGGGGGGGTGGATTGGGACAGGTTCCGGGCGATCATAAAATTAAGAATGGGATGGTTGCATGTGGACAAACCCGCGGCCCTCCTGGTGGAGGAGTTCTCAGGGGTCATCATCCGCTCCGCGGAGGAAGGCCCTAGGGGAGCGTCGCCCTAGGGGTTCCGCGGGGTACGAATGGTGGAATTCTGAACTGGATAAAACTCGGAAGCTGCAATGCAAGCTCAGGCGTGTATGGCAGAGTAAAAGGCGTCTGGGAGGTAGATCAGAGGAGATAGCCAGAATGTCTTTTCACAGCGTGCGTCCGAGATATAGAAAGATGATGGTGGAGGTGCAGCAGGCGCATCACAGGTGGGTCGCCAATACTGGCAATGAGGACCCTTGGGGCCTGGCATACAGGTTGGCCAGCGGGAGGGTGCGTCCGCCTGCGAATGTGATCAATGGGATTGCATTCGCGGGTGGGCACCCAGATAGTCTGGGAGTTGCCATGAACAGCCTGATGACTGCGCTCTGTCCGGATGACGACCCTGGCTGTGACAAGCCTTACCACCGGCAGGTTCGAATGCTGGCGGCGTTTATGCCTTCTGGTAGAGCTGCACCTCCACTTGCGGTTGAGGACCTGGGTGGCATAGTCAGGGCCTTGCCCAACACGGCTCCGGGTCTCGATGGAGTGAGTGCGAGAATCGTGAGGAATGTTTGGATGGCTGCACCGAGGGAATTCCACTCGGTGTATGCCAAGTGTGTAATAGAGGGGGTTTTCCCCCAGGTATGGAAGGACGGTAGATTGATTGTCATTCCCAAGGGTAATGACAAGCCACTCACTGACGCTAAGGCGTATCGTCCCATAACGCTCCTGCCTGTTTTGGGAAAGATGCTTGAACGTGTAATTCTAAGGTGTGCTCCTGTGATTAGTCACGGGATATCCGAGCACCAGCACGGATTTTCTCCGGGGCGATCTACGGTAACAGCGCTGCGAGTATTGCTCAGCACGGCAAAGTATTCTCGGGCATGCTACGTGCAAGCTATCTTTTTGGATATTTCCGGTGCCTTCGACAATGCCTGGTGGCCGATGATGATGGTCAAAGCTAAGAGGGGTGGATGTCCACCTAACATTTATAAAATGTTGGTGGACTACTTCACCTCCAGGCGTGTGGGCCTCTACATCGGGGACCGGGTAGAGTGGAAGACCTCGACCATGGGATGTCCTCAAGGCTCCGTGCTGGGCCCAACACTGTGGAACGTGCTGATGGACGATTTGCTTCGACTCCCTCTGCCTGAGGGAGTTGCCATGACTGCCTATGCCGATGATGTCACAATCTTGGTTGAATCGGAAACGAGAGCAGGTATTGAATCCAGGGCCCGGGTCACTCTGGACCTTGTACGGGAATGGGGGCTGAGGAATCGACTGAAGTTCTCCTCCTCAAAGTCTACCACCATGACTGTTAGAGGGAAACTTCAGCGCCCCCCGGTTATTAAACTTGGTAGGGAATCAATCAAGTCTGTGACTACCGCTAAGGTACTAGGCGTGGTTTTGGACTCAGGATTATCATTTGTGCAAAACGCTTCTGATATCTCTGAAAGAGCGACTAAGGGATTTGGCAAAATGATTCGCGTATCGACCTCGTCATGGGGTATGCGATACCCGAGTTTAAAAATTATTTACAGAGGAGTGTTTGTGTCCACGCTCACGTATGCAGCAGAGTGCTGGTACGAGCGGGCGAACATGTACACAGTCCGTAACGTACTACTGAGATAGCAACGATCTGCACTTGTCTTGTTGACCAAGGCGTACCGGTCCACTAGCACGGCGGCCTTACCGGTGCTGGCTGGCGTTCTCCCTGCTGACCTGGAGGTCATCCGTGCTGGTAGGATGGGTGTGGCACGTTTGACCGCGCCCAAAGAGGAGTTGAGCAGACGAAAGCGTCATATCTGGACTGAGGTGATTGGCGTATGGCAGAATCGATGGGAAAACGAAACGAAAGGACGTGAGTTAAATCGATTTTTCCCGGAGGTGGCGTTGAGACTCAGGTATACCTGGGTCTCACCGGACTATCAAACATCCCAGATTCTCACTGGACATGGATGTTTTCGGAAGAGACTGCATGACATGCGACTGTGTGAAACCAGTATGTGTGAGTGTGGTACGGCAGAGGAGGATGTTCACCATGTTCTATGGGAATGTCCTCTGTATGACGATCTAAGAGCGAAAGTGTTGGATGGGCTGGTTCGAACGGTTCAGGGACCGATTTACTACTCGGATCTCGTCAGCGATGGGGTGAACTACGGGCTGTTGCGTGAGTTTGCGCATAGGTGGCACGATCGCAGGAGAAGGTAGAAAAGGATGCTGGTAGGAAGGCCCGACGACGTAGGCGTTATTGTGCCGTCAGCCCCAGAAGGGGGAGAATGACGTTAAACTGGGACAAGGAACAGAATAAATATTTGTAGGGAGTCAAGAAAGTGCGCGCGGGAAAGAGCAAGGTACAAGTACCGCGCGCATCGCAGCAGATTAGGCCCGTATGACCTGAGGGTCGGTGGGGCCATGGGAGGTGGTGGGTTGTTCCCATCTCTGGGTTGGGGCTCCCCAGTACCAGCTTCTTCCACTTGACCGCATCCAGCGCAGAGCGGCTCGAATCGTCGACGACCGAGTGCTTTCCGATCGGCTCGATTCACTGGCGCTGCGAAGAGATGTTGCATCTCTTTGCGTATTTTATCGCATCTATCACGGGGAGTGCTCTGAGGAATTGTTCGGATTAATCCCAGCCGCCAAATTTCGTGAACGCACTACACGTCAAACGTCCCGATACCATCCACACCATCTGGATGCTTGGCGGTCCACCACCGTACGTTTCACAAGGAGTTTTCTTCCACGTACAACCTCTCTGTGGAATAGTTTACCACCGGCGATTTTTCCGGACCGATACGACCTGGGGACCTTCAAGAAAAGAGCTTACTCCTTTCTAAAGGGCTGGCAACGCACCCGCAATTCTCCTGGTGTTGCGGTTGATCATGGGCGGCGGTAGTCACTTAACATCAGGTGAGCCGCATGCTCGTTTGCCCCTTCTTCTATAAAAAAAAAATCTTTTCAAATTAACTAAGATGTTGTTTCATATTACAGGTGATAAAGCAAACTCGTTGACGGCTATTAATTTTTGTATCTCTCCTTTAGTAACAGAATTTTCTTGCTATAATTCATTAATATGCTAATGAAATATTTAACATTTTTTTTAAATGACTAAATAGAAAACATTGTTTAAAAAGCTTCGAGGCTGCTTGGGTTTGTCATACAAAATAGTGAAGAATTTAGCATGAATACTAAGAAAATGATTTATAATAGTCTCGTTCGTAGTACACTTGAATACTGTTCTGTTGTCTGGCGTCCACACTTTGCGGTTCACAATCTACGCATTGAGCATATTCAGAAGCGGTTATTGTGGCATTTGGCACGGTTAATTGGTAAAGCAAAGGGAGATTTCTAATTTTCGGATAGGCTAAAATTTTTCGAAAGCAAGGATAACAATCCTTGGATAAATGTAGGGAGCTAACAGGCTTGTTGTTTTTCTACAAAATTCTCAACAATAGAACGAGTTGCCCACAGTTCTGAACCCGTTTGAATTTAGCGCTCCTTCGAGATATCTGCGTCATCCGATAGCGCCACTGAAGTCTCCAACCCGCACAACCGTTCTTGGCTCCAACTCTCCATTACCCAAACTGTAAGCTGCTAAATAGCTTCAAAAAATGGTTGATGTAAACTTTGATTCCGCTTACAGTTTCCGTAAAAAGTTTCTCGGCAATATGGCTACGTAAGCAGGCCAATTTCCTTTTGATATTGTTCAACGAGTTCCTGTTGCATATTGAGATCCTTAAGTAGAAAGAAAGAGAGAAGCTTAAGCCGTTCGAAGATTTTGACGTCCCGTTTAAAACTACTCGTAGCGAAGTTGTTATTAACTCCGGTTGTTGAACGCAATGATGAGGCAAATACAGACTATAGGAAGGTGTAGTGTTGTATGGCGACAGTTTCATACTACCTTATTGCAAGTACTCGTGGATAAATGATTTCTTGTTCAATATCTTTTCGGTTAATAAATCTTTTTTCTAACTGTGCTATTGCTCTTGATTTCGATTCTCCCAATTTTTGATCTGCCACTGATATAAATGGCAATCTGACTATGTATATACCGTCTTCTTACCTTATAGTAGTGTTTTTGAAATATTCCAGGCTTTGATCATCCTCTTGGGTTATAGTGAGTTCGTATGTTTTTTATATCTCCCAAAAACGTTGAATCTCATTTAAATTGACCTTGCATTGATAGGATTTTACAAAATATCCACCCGAGACGTGTTTGCCGATACCGCCTAATATGATAGAAGAATAGACGTCCGTTCCCAGCGACAAGTCTACTGGACGGCTTACGCTGAATTTGGGACCATTTTGCAGTTTTAGGTTAAAATTCGAGATTTTATCCGGATTATAACCGGCCTAAGAATATTGTCCTGAGTGACGCTCCCTCAAGTTGTATAGGAAATACAACGTCATGCCACTCGTTCTTCGTAATGATTTTTATTGAGTTACCGAGGATTAGTGTTAATTTTTTAATACATAAGTTAAAAAATATTTACCTTCTGGGACTAATACGCAACTGAGGCAAGCTAAGCCGCCGATGCACATAAAAATGCAAAGTACCCATCGGCGACCAAAACGCTTCATGCAATGCCAAGCGATTACATATGAAGGAAGCTCCACTACTCCTCCTGTAATATTAAAAACATTGCAATAAAAACAATTGTTATGATTAAATGTTTTTGTGGGGTTCTTTGTTAATTCGATGAAAATGCAGAGATTTAGGCTATATGTACTTATTTAAATTTCGCCTGACGATGTAACTTTTTTAAATTATATAAATACTTTATTCTATTTTATTTGATTAAAACTACTTTTACGGATTTTATCGCGTTTATTTTTACTTTTTATTTTTAATTCCCGACGTTTCGGGCGCTTTCCAGCACCCATGGTCACGGGGGACTGAGATGACTGACGTCCCGATGTCATTGTTAAACCCGGAGTACCTTCAGCTTTTTTAATTATTGTTTATGGTCCGATCTATGCAAAATGAACTGACTATGTCCTGAGGTCTTGCAGTGGTATGCTTGGGTTTAGTTTTAATTTTATTGATTATAGGATCCCAAGCAGGTGGTAGTACCCAGCCTCCCACTCTATTGAAATTAGGATGTTTTTTAATTTCAATAGCCTCACATATCATCCTTGGTAGGAATCGGTGTTCTTTCGCGAGGATTTGTGGTCTATCAAATCTGATGTAATGGTTGGGGCCGTCTAGGATATGATCACAAACTGCAGACTTCCCGGAACGTTGATGCTTCACATCAGCTATATGTTCTTTCTTTCTATTTTTATGTATTTTCTTTCTATTTTATTTTTTAATAAAGTTGAAGTTACAGTCTGCATACATACTGAAAACTATTCTGAGCAGTACTTACCGATAAAAAATGCCAAGTAGTCATTGACACCTAGATTCGATGTATTATAACTTAAGCCATTATAAATAACTCCTAATGACAGCCAGTCTAAAGTCAGAATAAAAAAATTCTTTCTTATATTTGGATATCTGAATAAATCTAAAATAGATGCTTTGCAATCTTCTTCCAAATCATGGTCATTATTGGCACTAATTTCCACATTATCTTCACAGTCACTTTTAGGGAAACTTCTATTCACCAATTGACGTGATTTTCTTTTTAAATTACTACCTGTAGAATTTTCATGAAAATAATTCATTTTTGATATTTTCCTCAAGTCTTCATTTAATTGCAGTTCTCCGGTACTCGTTTTGTCAAGTGTGTTTTGTTTGTTTCCTTTATTTTCCAAGTTTTTACTAAGTAAGAGACTTTCTATGTCATTATTGTCATTATTATTAAAATTTTCAGAAACATTGGTTACATCAGGTTTTGAAGTAAGCATATTTCCGATTCTATGATCAACGCAATTCTTATCGAGAATTTCAGGGAATCCAACAGTGTTTCCATCAATGGAGGATAACATGGTGGATTTTTCTTCTGCATATATTATTTTCTTCTGAAACCATAAAAAGTTGTCTTATCATCTTAACTTGTATATAATGTTTTCATCCATTCCGATTTTTACCATGGCTATTACTCCAGAATGGGAATTAAAAACTGCGTAAGAAATATTAATGGTAATTCAACAATGGTATATTTACACCGTGTTTGTTTCCATATAAAAACGGTGTAAGAATATCTACTACTCCATATTTTTCCGTGGGTGTTGTAAGAGACCATGGTAACCGTAACCGAAGATGGACAACAACATCTACCCGATAACAACTTAAAATAATAAAACGTGGCAACTATATTAAACTCTCTCCCATAAGAAAGTCTATAGAAAAAGCCTTTGTTCAGCAGTGGACTTTTATATGCTTTAATGTTTAAATCTTCAAGCGTAAAATCGTTCATTTATCCTATTTTACTCTATATTAATGAAATGCCTATGCAACAGATCAAATGACTAATATGTAGTTATATAGACAGGGAAATAACTGCGTACACTCGGACCTAAAAACCACAGATATAGATTATTTTGATTACTCCCTCTGGTATTACATCCAAGGATTCAAGAAAATGGAAACTCAATATCAGTGGTTCGTTTTGGCTCACGGAATACAGAAATAAGCAAGTAATTACCATTGGTGATCATAGTATCTGGAGTGGGAGCGTACTGTGTGATGATGTTATTATGTAATAGGAGTATCCACCGAACGAAATATATAATAAATGTCTTGATATATGGTAATTCGAGACATTGATCTGTGTAATATTCGTCGAGGCTAATGTTCAGCAATAAGTTTGTGAAGCACTGCTATGTTTGTTTGACTTACATGTATATCAAAAAGAATTCCTTGTGACAGTTCGATGCCATTCTTTTTGGCAAGTGTTTTAAGGACATTTTCTGCTTCAGCTATTCGACCTCTGCCTACTAGCCACCTTGGTGACTCTGGTAACAACCAGTAATACCTGTTAAATTTAGGAACTAAATAAATAAATATAAAGTGAATAAACATACACACGTATACATAATGTTGTTTTTACTGCAGTGTACAATAAAGTTCACTATAGCATACAGAGAAAAGTATATCCAAAATTTAATTATAAAAAAATCACAATAATCTTAAATTTTCTGCCTATTCAATAGTAAGATATCTCTAAAAAAATTCAAAATTGAGATAAGTTTTATTAAATGTATAGAATTAGCTCTTCTAACTGGATCAAATATCGGATTTACGTAAAACTTAACAATACGTTCCTAAATTTCAATATCTCACTGTGATATTTATTCATATTTTTACCGAGCACATATTGAAGATTCTGACATCTAAAATTCTAAATATCTAGAGGGTCAGAAAAGTTTTTAAATTTCTTTTATTTGTGCGGTATGATATCTTATGCTGTCGTAGTATTTTACCAAATTATCATTAAATTCTATATTTACACTAGGACATTTTGGAACATTTTATTACCATAAACCAAGTTGGGCTCAAACTATCGCCCTGGAATATATGCCGCGCAATATTTATAGAGTCTATCGAACTACTTTGCCATTCATCTGGTAGGATTAGTGTTCCACTAACCCATATTGCGCAAATAAAGAATTAAATTGAAATTGAAATTGAAATTTACCTAGAAACTTACAAATATTGTCATCTTTTTTATATATTCCTAAAACTCTCTTCGGCTACGAATGTGGAACCGTGTCATAGGCCTTTTTATAATTCACCTAAGCAGCGAACATATTTTTGCGATTACGAAAGACTTGTCAGCGAAAGACACATGACCATTTCCGACATCCGTTCTGTGTAGTTGAAATAATGTTATTATTTTCCAAATGTTTGTATAAGTTGTTCTTTCAAATTTTAGCCATTAATTTGTATACAGTTTGCTTGTCTGAATTGAATTAATGTGAGAGAAAGGATTTGCTTGAAACTGGTCTACGGGACAACGTTGCTCAATATGGCTGGTCGAAAGGACACATCCGTGTCACATGCTTATGAATGTTTGTTATTGTGCGCGGTTGGTCGAAATACACATCCTTTCGGTCCAGGCTTATAAATGTTTGATGTTGAGGTTTAGTTTTGTATGAAGCTGGTTGACGGGACAATGTCGTACCGGGCCATACCGCCCGCGGCTTGTCTTAGGGACACATCCGTTCGATTCAGGCTTATGAATGTTTAATGTCGATGGTTGGATTTGTATGAAGCTGGTCGAAAGAACAATGTCATACCGAACCATGCTACGTGGCTGGTTGAAAGGATATATTCGACCGGTCCAGGCTAATGAATTGTGGAGTTATACTAATGAGTGAATCCGAATATGATCCTCTTTCGCCTACAAATGTTTATTGATGCTACTGTTAATATAGTTTTTCTGCATTTTGGAAGTTATATAATATTATTAGTATAAGTTATAATATATTATTATATTTCAGAAGACAACATTAAAAAGTTCTCATTTATTCACTGTACTGGGAACTCACACCTATATCAAAACTATTTCGCTCTATTGTTTCGTGGTTTATGTTAATAATATTCACATTATGGTTACTGTCATTAATATTTAACTACCATTCTCATCAGGAAGTGTTCTTTGGGAATCAATCAAATCGATATTAGATATCGAGTACTCAGAGAAAAGTTGTTCAAGTAATCTGTCGTCCAAAATCTTACGACTTAGGATGACATGTACTTTATCTGAAAACCTTTCGACAGTTAAATTTGTTAGGTTAGGGTGTAGCTGGTGGAATTCATACAGCATTATTTGGTAGCCTTATATAGTCCAGAGCATGCATCGTCGAACTACATCATCAGTAGCGGGCTCATCTTGTGAGATAGTAATTCCAGAAGGTCCCAAGCCAGCCAGTAGTGCTCTTTGTCCCCTCAAAGATGGTACGGGGGTTCTTCTCGTGCCTCTAGGATAGCATTATATGGACATCTAATCCTCCGTAGGCGATGTTACACGTGCAATTGTAGTATTGGCGGTATTTATTTGCATTTGTCGTCTCGTTCGATGCGTAATTTAACGTAAAATATTTTATAAGGCTGTTTTTAGAATTTCATAGATGACAGTTGTCAGTATGAAAGAAATAATTTTTCTTAAAATTATTTCAGTCATAGTCTTCAGCAATTTTTTACGTCTTAAATATACAGACATTGTTAAATTTATTTGCGTGGAAAATTTGTTATTTGGGAACTTGAAACATATGCCAGAAAAATATTTTTTTGAGAATTTGTACTAACATCCAACTGGTGTACCCCAAAAAACCGATTGCATTAGAAAGGCAATAATTCGGAAAAAAAAACATAATTTTTTTAAAGAAATAAACAAAATGTATTTCTTTTTTAAGCGTAGTAGCACACTTCGGGTATCTACTAGTTTTTAATAAACCATTTCAGAGACAAACTTTAAAACCACAAAAATAATTCAAATAGCTTAATGCAATATGAGATTATCTTGCTAGTAAAAATCCTGAAACTATCTTTAGCAATATAATAGTCATATTGTAATTTAAATTATATATATATATATATATATATATATATATATATATATATATATATATATATATATATATATATATATATCGGCGTGTGTGTGTGTGTGTGTTTGAAACTCACCCATACAAAGCTATGAATGGAAGACTTGTAGCTAACGATAGATAAAACCAATCCCGTACAATGTAGGCGATTAGCGCTAGCAAGCTCATTCCACTAGCAAAAAACATTCCTACAATTATCCCTAGAAAAATAACAAGGGGTTAGAAAATAATAATGAGAGAAACCCAGCAGTGATCTTTTATAGGCAGAAGATGTAAAGAATTTTTACACAGCGATTGCTAGCTTTATCTACTAAACGCAACGAAGAGTCCGGTTACTATAAGCTATAGTATAGCTATAGTAGTTATAGCTATATTTCTTGTTACTCGTGTATGTTTTTTTGGTAATAATGAAAAAATATAATATTAGTTTTAAATACTTTTAGTATAAATCTATTCATTACACCCCTAACTTCAATGCCTATTATGAACAAATTATTTAAAAAAAATGCTTAGTATATTTATCGGTCCAAAGGGCAAAAATCATTTTAACAATATTTTTTATTTTCTTTACCTGCGTGCGTCCTCCGAGCGGGTGGCATCAACTCCAAGGCAAGAATAAACGGCAACTGATACATAGCTGGAAAGAATAACCCACCAAGTACTCTTAAAACTATGTAGGTCGTGTAAGAGTTTGAAAAGGAAGCTGCTATTGCCAACGGCACTTCTAGGGAAATCATTAATAATATCGTTGGACGACGGCCATATCTAAAAATTAGAAAATCTATGTTATCATTTAAATCTCAATTTGATTACAGTTTTAAATGACTATTGAAATGGTTATGTTAAATATAGAGGATAATTAAGTATTTGATTTCAATTATATAAACTACAATACAACTTTATTATCTAACAAATACCTAATTTCAGCAATAAAAAACAATTATTTTAAAGGTCATCTGTTTAAAAATAAAAATTATATATTCAAAAGATACATGTTATAAACTGTTGCTGCATATTGTAAACAAGCACTTCTTATTTGAAAATGTACATATTTTATTTTATATTTGATATTCTAGTATCGGATGCCTAATTAACATACCTGTCTGACATCCATCCAAAGAAGAGATTACCAAATATAGACCCTAACCAAAAAAGTGTGTAACCTGTCCGCGGCAACCATTCCTTCTCACAGACTAAAGAAAACTGAAACAAAATCTTTATTATATTATATAAAAAAAATCAACCAATCTAAGTATACCAATATAAGTGTTAAGTGTTAATAAAAATGGGTTAAAAGTAGAAAAATTACCTCTGTAACAAGGGTCGCTTCATATTGTTCAGTACTGAATCTCCAACCATTCAAACATCCCGTTGGCTTGCTTCTGAGTAATGTTATGGCTTCTACTATTCTAGAAATCTGTGGAATGAAAAAGTATTTTTGTATAGAACTAAGGCTATGAATTAAAATGCAGATGCGTTGTCACTCTAAAGGACTGAGATAAAAAGCATCATTACCAATTAATAAAGGTTGATTTTTGCGTAATCAATCTATTAAAAAGATGCTTAGTTATTTCAATGTTATTTTTAATTATAATTAATAAATGACGCTGTTATTTTACTTTATTTCTTACTTTAAGATTGTTTAATTTACGCGATAAAGACACATATTCACACACAAACCTAATATTATTACAATTTAATGTTGATGTTGCGAACAGGACATGGACATGCTTGCAAGAAGAATGAAAGGGTTACCTGTTTTTTCCGATCTTCGAATTCTTTAGCAGGGATCAACTGACGAGTTTTTATCGTTCGTAACACACCTCCTTCGTGAATTATTTCAGTCCTAGAAATATTTTAGGTTTTATATTTACTTATGCATTTTATTTAAAAGGTTTTATAATAGCTATCCTCGTCAACATACAAACTTTTAAATATTTATAAGTAATTTATTGACTTTCGTCTCACCTTATGGAAAGTGGTGATGAATAAAAAAATAAAACAGGCCAAGTGCGTGGCGGACCACGCATAATGTATGGGTAGTGTACCGTAGTCACCAGTCACAATACGTGAACTTAGTACTTTCTTAATAATAAGCATATTGAGTTCGCGATTTGACAATGAAAATGGACCCAAATTGTACCATGGTCCATAGGAATGATCCATAGGGAGGACTTATTTTCCAATCAGGATTATAGAAGTGGTATTCAAAAAGGATTATTAAAACTTTTCTATTGTGAAAATAATACAATCTACACCTAATCATTCACATGCAAAGTTCGTACAAAGACGGTCACGGGAGATACGATAAGGATATAGAACGACGAGTGAATGCGGGAAATAGAGTAAATGGGGCCTTGCACTCTATTGTGAAGAGTCAAAATGGGTCGAAAAAGGCACGTATGGCAATTCACAATGCTGTGTTGGTCCCTACTTTAACGTATGGTAGTGAAAGTTGGGTGTGGCAGAAGAAGCACTAGAGTAGAATAAACGCAGTAGAAATGCGGTCGTTAAGGAGTATGTTAGGGCTGAATCTGAATGACAGGGTAAGAAATTGTGTAATAAGAGAAGAGTGTGGTTTGCAAGATGATGTTGTGACCAGGATTAAGAAAGGAATGCTTCGGTGGTTTGGTCATGTGGAAAGAATGAATGAGGAAAGAGTGACAAAGAAAATTTATGTTGCAGAAGTGAATGGCAGAGTCGGAAAGGGACGTCCTAGGCGAAAATTTATCGACCAAATTGGCGATTTATTGGAAACGGGCCAAATTGGGAGTACCCTTAACCGACGAGCATGTATGCGTAGGTGTATGGATGTGAAGGAGGCGAGAGAGGTGTGTCAGGATCGTGCCAAATGGAAATCTGTCGTCTCTGCCTACCCCTCTGGGTGACAGGCGTGAGTGTTTTATGGACGGTCAGAATTGACTATATATAAATTCTTGACAGTGCAACCTTAAGATATATATGACTGTAACCAACCTTCTCGTAAACCAACACTGTCCTAAACTATCCTGAGTAAACCAAGACTACCACGAATCAAACTGTATGGGGCTATAATATGATTATATAAATACTTTAAATGAGGCCTACAATACTCCCGCAAAAGAAAAAATAAAGCTATAGTAGTAATGCATATACGTCGTTTTAGGTTATTTTCTTTGGAGTTGTAACGAAATATTTAAATAATCCAAGTGCATTTTATAAGTTGATCGATTATTACTCGTTAATTTGTTAATTTAACCACGCAGAAGTTTCTTCTAGTTGCACGAAATCACCTTTCATCGACGTAATCGTGCAACGCAGCAAACAACGCCCTCGTGTCCAAGGTATATCTGGAACATGTTTCATAAGTCCCTTCATACTCTGGCACAGTGAGATTACGAAGGAGTCCCTCAGGCAGTTCCACGCCCTCAAGTTCTGGCGGCGGGGCGCACCAGTGGTCTGGAGTAGCGTTTGTGAATACCTGTAAAAATTATAACTGTAAATGAACGTGTAGTAGAGGACGAATATCCATTACCCCATATCGTCTCGTAGGTGTCATAAGAGGCGATCGAGGGAAGCAGAAAAGGGTGGTGGGGAGCAGCATCTTTCTAATACCAACTTAAAATTATTAAAAAGAACTGCGGTTTCTAATCCGCACACTAAGCATGGCAACTATGGAAAAATCCCTATATAGACACCTATGTTAAGCTGCGGACTTTTATACTTCGACTTTACTTTACTCTAAACGGTAATGGTATGGACAGAACGAAAATTATAGCTAAAATTTTTCAACCGTCTTCACTATTGTTACTAGTTTCTAGAGATTTATAATATTTATTTTATAGAATATGAGTGACAAGCACACAGTCCACCTAACGGCAAGTGGATGCTATAGCCCATAAACATTTACATTTATCCTCGTTTATGAGATGAAGTGCAGTTGCATTGTTACTTGTAACACCTGAGGACTAAGATGGAATGCCTCGTTTCCAGTAAAAAAGGTCTCCGGTTCTCTACATTCACCACATGAAACACAGCAGCATTAATATGCTACTATTATACGCTGGTGTTTTGTGAGAGCGTGGTCCTACCCCGGTCGACCCGACCTATTCATGCTACAACCATAATATAGATGCAGCATGGCTCTACCGCGTGAAGTATTGATATAGTCACCTGTTATGACACCCACGGAACAAAATTGACATTCTTACGCTGCCTTCGATCAACAAGTTGATCGAAGTACGCTGCCACAACACCGCGTACAGTACAGTATGTCTTTTTTAACAAAAAAAAAACAATAAGAGATATATTATATTATACTAACTGTTCCCCGCGACTGCACCCACGTGTGTTTTTTTTTTTCACAGAACCCTAAAATACAAATATGCATAAGTTACTCCTTATAACATCCGCTATCGGCCAATGAAAGTCCCGTCCAAATCGGTTCACAGGTTTTTGCCTGATTCAGACAGACGTCGTGTTAGAGTTTTATTATAGTATAGAAGATAACAACAGTTAGTGTGTAAAATAGATAGGTACATAATATATAATAAATTTTAATTCATAGTAATATTAAATGTAGCTTCGGTAATGTAACGTGATGTAATGTGTTAATTAAAATACGAGTTAAGTCCTTGATGCCTGAAATAAAGTTATTGTATTGTATAAAATACAATAACTTTATTTCAGGCATCAAGGACTTAAAAATTAAGAACATTGGCCCATAGCAATATATACCTTAACCTAAAATATATATATATAAAATATAAATATAACACTATTTAGGGAACTTTCTTCTTTTGCGCGTCCCTGTATCGGCGAAACACTACCCCAGAGGGCCATAAATCGGGAGCAAGGAATGTCTCTTTGTATTTTGCAGGAACCTGGAGTACGTAAGATTTGAAGTTCGTGGACGTCTTAAACCCCAGACGCTGCAAATGTAAAGAGATCGGATCCTCTATGCGGCATCGGCTTCGTTCTTCCATGAAACGCAGGACGTCTTCTCCCGACGTACTTTTGTCCAAACGGGAGCTGTATAGTGGGCTCCACAATACGCAGAGTTAATGATAATGTATACATAATGTCGACGGCAATGGTGTACGGAAAAGCTCTAATCAGTTTATGTTTATACTAAAACTGTCTGTCTTTGTGATCATAAATTTCTTAAAGAAATTTAAAAAAAGACACAAACCACTCCCTAGCAAGGCATCTTGTGTAATATATAACAACAAAACTTAGATTTCGGGCTGATTTTTCAAGTAAAATATATAATGCATAACATCAAATTATTAACAACCTGGAGGATACAAAAGTAAAACGATTGATTGTTGTATTGTTGCTATGAATTAACTTATAGCCGATGATTAAAAATCTGCACTTATAAAACTAATAATATAAGTATGTTATCAGTTTTCATACCTTTACCATTGCAGCCTATTAATGTCCACTGCTGGACACAGGCCTCCCCCACCGATTGTCTCATAGGGGGATATTTTCCATAATTAAGGGGAAATATAACCTCAAAGGGCTTAGCAAGATCCTCCCTTATGCCGAAATTATTGCAGCATTAATTTTGAAATAAAAATATGATAAAGTTGAGGATTAATTTTAAGGACTATGTTAGACGAAAACACGATTCCGTAAATTTTTTTCGATAGAAAAAAAAATCCAAAATTACCTCCAAAATAAACAATAAACCGCTGTTATTCATAAAATAATTTAAATAAGATCATGAAACTTTGCATACTAACTGACCTAACCATAAAGCAGTGCTTATGTTATTTACTTTTTTAAATACCATTATTTTCACTGTAAAAAGAAATTACCTAAAATATCGGCGTTTTGAAGCTTGATTCCTGCCGCCCAGTCAGTTTCGCTTCGGCCTTTGAAGGGGGGAGGTGTGTCGCTTACGACGACGACAAATTACGCAACAGGACGACGTAAAATTAAAATGGGAAATAACTGTGAAAAAGAAGCGACTGGGTTGGCGTTAAAAAACAGGTATATATATATGATAAACCTAATGAAATAAGTATCTAATGACCTATCTACTTACAGTATTAGTGATTACAAACATGTCGGTACATAGCATACGACGCGCGGGGAAGTGGGGGCGAAATTAGAATTTGAGCTGACTTACTATATATATGTTTTTTTTTTGTCGTTATTAGTAAGACACTGCTGCCCATCTTCTGATTTGTTTCCCTCCGTCGCCTCTTACGATATCCACGGGGTGGTATGGGGTAGTGGATGCTCTTACACCGCCACTACACGGTACAATAGTTTTTATAACTAAGTTATAATATAATAAATGTCACATAACTGAATCAAATACTGTAACAACGATAATGAAATGTTTAATTGATTAAGTAAAACAGTTTAGTAGGCTATCTTCTAAGAAACATATCGAACGCCGCTAATATATGAAGGGTACAGGGGCAAAACAAGAAATGTCACAAAAACAAAAAGTTGTGTAATTAACATTTCTATATTTCAAAGTTAACAATTTTCTTAGGTATGGCTTAAACATATACGCTGCTAATAAAAAGTTAAGTTTACCTTTTAAAGTGTTAATTTAAGAAAGGAAAAATACTTTTATGGAAATAAAAAAATTTTAAATAATAAAAAATTTAATAGTTCACTTTTACAAAAACTGGGAATGTCCAGTGTGTCCCATACAAGGAATGTCCAACTACCTAAATGTATTGCTGATTATGCATGAGGAATGCTTTCAAAGTAGGATTGGGCCCCCTCAGAACAAAATCTTTTTAAATCCACTAAGTCCTTGTACTTTTCTGCACTAATGGGTAAGAAATTGATATAGGCAAAATCTGGCAATTCAAATTCATTTGATGTGTCATTTGACCCGGGTTCCTTTTTTACCACAATAGGTGATTTCTCCCATAAACCATTATAATTACTTCTGTGTAAAATAACTCTAGAGTGTTCTTGTACACACTTCAATTCTCTTTGGGACTGAATAGGAAATGAGCATTTTTTCATGTATAGATTTTTTTTAAAAATTATAAATTTTCTTATGTGTTCACCTATTCCTACCTCAATCACCTCAAAGGGTTTGGGTCTTTGGCGACTTACTCTCAGGAAATCAAATCACTGGTATGGAACTTCAATGTGAGCGTAGAGTTTAGATTGATTAGGCCCATATTTTTATCGCATTCTAAATACGAATGTCCTCGTATTGGATAAGTAATTTTGATAGAATCTAAAAGTTTCATTTTATGGACAACAAAATGAATAAACCTTATCACTGTGTAGTTCTTGCTCTGTCCACCTGCTAAATCACAAAATATTTCTAAATGCTTTACACGACTATCCAGGTGGTTTGTTAAATATTGAAACAGAAATGAAACCACTTCATCTGAACCCTTATGTCCACAGGTTTCTGGATAGGTGTAAAAATAGGAGCTTGCATCACCCAATGCATGAATATTAAAAGAGTACATTGATAATTGACGTTTGTAATAGACATCGCTTGTGTCACCACCACTGTTTGGCAACGACACATTCTTCTGGTAGTCCATGGCAATTGCTTGAAATTCATAGAATGTTCTTTGTTGTTTTAAAAAAAATATTTGATTGTTAAAAATAATATGCACAGTGATGCACTTTTATTAATGTAAACAAGGAATTGTGCTAACTTTATAGACTTCAATCCTTTGGATGCCTTGTCCTATAAAATTATTATAAATTGGTTGAAGGCATTAACAGGATTCAAACTACTGTATATCTATATGTATGTATGTCCATCCATATTAGATCCAGATGATGGTCATCCTAATAATTATCATCATCTTCATTACTGTCTATCAAAGTCCACTCCCGAATATAGGAATCACCATGTAAAATATCTGAGTAATCCTTTAATAAAATTATATATATTAATTACCATATACATTATACATTTTACTAACATCACATGGAACTGCAGTTCTTAAGAACTTTTTCTTGGTTGCATCGTTAAATTAACCATCATGAAAATGTTTTTCACACAGCATTCTGGGCTCATTATGTAGCTTTGTCTGGATAGCTTAAGTAGTATACTGCTCTTGGGAAGGAATATAATATTTCGCCCACAATTTACAGCTGAAAACAAAAAATATAATTATTAAATACAAATATTATCAAAGTACACTAGTAAGTAGTGGTTTTTAAATTGCATTATAAGTTGGACACAAGAGATTTACTTAAAGGTTAGAACTTATTAAATAGTATATATGTATATTGTATACGTACCACAAAATATACTTTACTGCGGGTTTTGGAAACCTAAATAATTTAATGTTGTCAACGGTTGATGAGCTGTTACAGTTAGAACACTTTTCTATTTTCTTTATCCGCCATTGCAGCGTAGTTTTCACTTTTTCGTATTTCACTACGAATTACCGACTGACATATTGTACATCATATAGACGAAGGATATTAATCACAACTCGACGTCGTAAACTTGCAAAACCTTAGAAAACGACAAGCGAAACCAACACAACTACCAATCATGTACAACAATAATTTATACGTCGGCGCCATAGCCATATATATGAGAATTATTTACATATATAGATGTTTTGATGCTACCAAAAAAAAATATAATTTTCTAATGAGTAGAAAATCAAAATAAAAAGAAAACATTTCTTTTTCTTTTACTGTCAATAATATGCTAATATAATAACGTAGAAAAATGCGACAGGGATATTTATCTTCCTATGGTTTATTATTATTTCTATATTCAAAATTTCTGTCTGTCTGAGTGTTATTTGCCTTTAGCAAAATCTTACTAATTATGAAACAAGACATTTATCTGACAAATGGCAACAATAAAATTCAGCCCCCGTAGGTATTTCATTCTGTCCATACAGAGTTGACCGGGCCTGTGGTCGGGTGACCGACTGCTCTTATAGTATTGTAGCAAAATGACTAGTGCTATATTAGGGACTTATGATAGTAAGGTCTATTATACCAAAGCATTGTTATAGAAGGTCTCCTTGATGCATCAGCATTATGATAGTAGAGTTATGAACTAAAGGCCTATATATTAAAGATATATAACAGTAAGGTCTATCAAAAAAAGCAAATATGTGGAAGGTCTTAATTAAGTAAAAACTGGCCAAGAGCGTGTCGGGCCACGCTCAGTGTAGGGTTCCGTAGTTTCCCGTCCGTCAAAATAAGTGTTCCCACTTATGAGTTTAAAGGTGGGTATCCATTATGTTCGCGCTCCAGCAGCGCTCCGCGCTCCTGCAACTGCTCCCGGTAGTGGGTAATGTTGTTTCCATCCAAGTTCAAAATGATTTTCCTAGAAAGTCCTTATAAAGTTCTACTTTTCAGATTTTTTTCATATTTTCTAAACTTATGGTTCAAAAGTTAGAGGGGGGTACACATTGTTTTTTTATTTTTGGAGCGATTATTTCCGAAATTATTGACATTATCAAAAAAATGATTTTAGTAAACCCCTATTCATTTTTAAATACCTTTCCAACAATATATCACACGTTAGGGTTGAAATTAAAAAAAAATTTCCAATTTTTATTTTACCACTTTGTCGTCGTGATTGATACACATATTGGTACCAAATTTCAGTTTCTAGTGCTAACGGTCACAGAGATTAAGCGAGGACGGACAGACGGACAGACAGACATGGCGAAACTATAAGGGTTCCTAGTTGACTACGGAACCCTAAAAAGCATTATATTAGTAGAAATGGGACTTGAAAAGGATTGTTATAGTGGCGTGTATACTGCTTCACGAGAAATTGGTCCGAGGTAAAAATAATAGCTATTTAAAAGTTTTCAAATAATCGTTTTATTGAGATAACTTTTAAATTCTTCGATTTACGACTCAAGAACTTACAAACAACTTTTTGTACTTAAAAAACTGCGTCAAATTACGACAAATAAATCAAAATCTTACAAGGCGTTCAAAAATTATATTAATTTAAAAATAATATTTTTATTAAAATTGAATCTTTAGGCTTGAGGAGCTCAAAAATCTACTAATAAGAAGATTTTCCAGCGTTACAAGCTCGAAAAAGCGGGAAGTTCCAGGATTGACCTTATCCTTATATTTTGATCAAAGAGATTTAGAATGCAGATTATTTATTAGATTATCAAAGATGCCCATGAGGCAATGGAGGAGCCGATTGCCTCATAGGGAGATAATTGCCATAGTTGCCACGCTTGGCAAGCGGATTGGCAACCGCAGTTTTTGTTTTTAATCGTTATTAGAAAGACGCTGCTGCCCATCTTCGGATTTGTTACCCTCTGTCGCCTCTTACGTCACCCGCGGCATGATATGGGGTAATAATGTCCTCCAGACCGAATTTCGGTCATTCGGTCGGAAACTGGGTCATGAGGCACGGAGCCTCAACGGAGGTTAGCCATTGGCGCAGGACAGGATTATAGTGTCCAAGTGTATGCGCAAGACAGGTGCACTCTCTATTCTCTCACTCCTATAATCCGATGGGACGGTAAACCGACACGATCGGAAAGAGATCAGGCGCAGGCCGGCTTTACGCGCTTTTTCGAGGCACGGGGTTGAGACACCGCCAACTTCCTGACTCCGGGCAACTACTGAAAATTTCTTGACGGAAAAACTCAATCATTAATTTTTTTGGCCCGACCCGGGATCGAACCCAGGATCTCATGATCAGCAGTCGCACTACTACAACCACTTGACCAACGAGGCAGTCGGTGATATGAGGTAGTGGATATTCTTATACCGCCACTACACGGTTATGATAGTTGGATAGGTGTAGGTATACGAAAATGGCGACCAAGTGACAACATTCAT